GATATTATCACTGAGAAAAATTACATTATCTGAAAAGAAATAAAGAGAATTTAATCTTCAGGATTGTTTTGCAGTGTTGCATGCCTGCACAATCACAAAGATAATCTATTTGTGTTAAAATAAGCTGCAAAGACATGTATTTCAGAACAGAACATTACACAGAATAAAACTGTCTGATATGAGGCTCCGGCTTTATCTCCCCAAAAAGATGACAATTCAAGATGACTAAATATGCTATGAAACAAATGGGTTAACTTGATGAAAATCTGCTGTATGAAGATAAAAGCATTTTAAAATAACATTTTTATTCTTTGACTGATCTCTATCAGCTACAGCATATTTCCATTTTTGCTCATTTTCAGTAAGCACTACCATGCCATCGGGCTCATGGGGTTATAAGAAACTAGTATTTCATCAAGGCTCAGTAGCTTCTGAAACCTCTTGAGGATGAGGATAGTGAACATTACCAAGAAACCAATAGGATAAACACTAATTAGAATAACAACAAAAATGATTTGCTTCTCTCCTTAAGCCATTTATAAGCACCAACCTGTAGCTGGAACTGCTCATGTAAAAACTTGATTGCTATTGTTTTAAGGAGGCTGCACTGTAGAAACATGCATTATTTCTCATCATCTGGGTTATTTCAGCCCTCATTCAAAAGCCACAAGACAGTAGCTCCACCCACAGAAAAGATGCAGGACCCAAATATCCTTGGCTACCCTCAGGTTATTTTAAGGCTCAAGAAGAGGTTCAGTTCCCCAGTTCTCCACTGCTTCTATCCAAGGGACAACTGTAGTTCCTACCCATCAAATATCTTTCAAAGAGATCCTTAAAGTTGGTGAAGCCTCCAAACTTAAAATAAATAATTCCTTGCCAAACCTGAGAGAGAGCTACTAAAACTCTACTTTGGCTAGAAAAAGAATCTAGCTGACTTGCAGTACTTCATGCCAATATCCTTAAAACACAAATCTGCCTGCACCACTAACTGGATTATGTAAGCAAACTATGCAATAGCCTGCAACTATTGCTCTCATTTCCTGTCCCTTCACATGCAGTGCCAGGGGACATCTAGTGGTACAGTCCAGAAACTGCAAAAAGCCTCTTCATTCTCTCAGAATCCTCAACCACGGATTCTGAGGACAAAGACAAGCCAAGCTCAATTTCTAAGGTTCTCCACCCCCTTTCCATTTAAAGAGGCAAAGCGGAACAGCGCGTTGTTCCCTACCTGCAATAATTGTTGTCGCCTGCCTCCTCACGTTGTTTTTATCTGTATATTCACCGTAGTCCAGTTTCCCTTCAACATAGAGCCGAGAACTGAAAAGTCAAGAATTTGGTTCCGGTCAGAGAACTGCATCCATTTCCTCCTTTTTATTTGATTCTGAATCCACAGGTTTTTTCCTCACTTGTATGTAGCATGTTTACGAAGTTACTTAAGGCACTTCTATCTTAGTACAGCTCCCAGTCACCAAAAGTGGTCAAAAAGGTAAACAGAATCCTGACTTGCATCAGAAATAGCGTGGTCAGTGGGACAAGGGAACTGACAGCCCTTCTGAACTCAGCACTGGTAAGACTGCACCTTGAGTATGTGCTCAGTTTGGGATCCCTCACTACAAGAAAGATATTGAGTTGCTTGAGTGGGTGCAGAGAAGAGCAGTAGTGCTGGTAAAAGAGTTAGAAAACAAGAATTACGAGGAACAGCTGAATAAATCATGGCTGATTAGCCTGAGAATAGGAGACTGAGGGGAGACTTCATCACTCTAAAGCTACCTGAAAGGAGGCTGTAGCAAACTGTGTTTCAGTCTCTTTTGTCAGATGACAAGTGACACAAGATAAGGAAATAGCCTCAAGTTGCACTTGGAAGATTTAGATAAGACACTGGTACAAATTTGTTCATAGAAATAGTGCTTAGGCATTGGATAGCCTGCCCAAGGTGGTGGTAGAGTCTCTACACCTGGACTTCTTTAAGAGACTTGTGGATATGGCACTTAAAAATATGGTTTAGTGGTGGATTTGGTAGTGTTACACGGTGAATGGACTTGATAATCTTATTAATCATTTCCAACCTAAATGTTACCATGATTCTATGAATTTTTACATCAATTGATTACTAAAGCATTAAGTCCTCAACATTCACTTACCCCTTCTTCACATATTGATACGTAACATCCCTGAGGCCTGGTCTGAAGACAGAGATCCTGTGCCATGTTGTCTTCTGACTGATATCACCTACATAAAAATAACAAAGCTGGATGCCACATCCTCTTACTGAAGTAAGATTCAGAAACGAGCTTTAACACATTGATGTTCTCAAATTAAGATTTAAGAAATGGAAGTATGCTATGTAGCATTCAGTGTTCTACCCATTTGTGTCCAAGCATTAGTATTGTACAAGAGCACAGTTCAAACCAAGATATTGGTTTTCTTGGAAAAAAAAATGCTTATGAGACTTCCCTCCCTTTCCTCTCCTTACAGACTCCAGATTGTACAAAAGCTAGAGAAAAGGAGACAACTGTAAATAAAGACTGATGGAAGAATCAAAGAAGATGTACTCATCCTTTTTTCCCCTCATGGGATGCAAGTAAGAGTATGGAATCACAATACCTCCGGCAACCCCAACAAGAAAAAAAACTGCTAAGCCAGCACTCTTTCCACTTCTCCAGTGGAGAGTCACAAAACAAATCCCTATTTAGCACATGCTGTTGAGTATTTAGGCAGGGATGTACAAACTACCTCAAAGGATCTTCCCTGCACCTGAGAGACGTACGGAGCAGCCTGAAGACAAGGCACAGTGCTACTGAACGTGCAAACTTCAGAGCACAGCAGCAGCAACCTGCTCAACCTTTGTTGCAGACTCACCTGTCTGTGTTACTTCATTTTCCCCTGTCCGCCACATCTCATTGGTTGCAAGAGAAAATATGGTAACAGGATTTTTTCCATCCACTTGCCTCATGATAGGGTCCTGTCCAACACGACCAAGTAACTGAACACGATTCATGGCTGAAACACAAGGCAGTAAATGCAAGGTGAGATGCACTAAGCAGCGTGGGGCAAACCAATACAGAATCAGTAATTTTATCCCCTTCAGTGCTAGGAGGAGAATAAGGAATCCAAAGAGGTTTGTACAGCTGAATTATGATCCTTCTGATCACAAGTCTTAAATCAATCAGCAGCTTTTATCAAGAGCCAGAAAAGTTACTTCCCACACCTTCTGACCATTCTCCAGTTTTTATAACTGGGCTAATCAGGCCCCACAGCAGTTACTGCTCTATTACAGTTACCACTGCTAAGTAACTTCATTTAGAAAGCTGAAGGTTCTTTATTTTCTCCTGGTCTTGTCATCTTTTTCCACAGAACAGCTTAGTTTGAAGGGACCTCAAAGCCCACTCAGATACATCCCCCTGCTGCGGGCAGGGCTACTCACCCCCCTCCTCCCCCCCCCCACCAGCTCAGGTTGCCCAGGGCCCCATCCAACCTGGCCTTGAGTGCCTCCAGGAATGGGGTACTCTGTGCAGCTGTGCCACTGCCTCACCACTCTGAGTAAAGAATTTCTTCCTAACATCTAACCTAAATTTCCTCTCTTTTAGTTTACAGCCATTCCCCCTTACCCTATCACTACCTGACCATGTGAAAAGCCAGTCCTCCTCCTTATAAGCTTCTTTCAAACCACTGGAAGGAAATGTCTATATGTCATATGAGACTATTTAGCATTTATTTAAAAACACTTTGACTTTTAAGCTGTAAAACTATAATAGTTCATTGTCCTATTTTATAATTAAAACAATGCCTTCAAAACAACGTTCCATTATTACATCACATCCTCTGATTTGAGGTCACTAATTTTAACAGACATATCAGCAACAAACAGACAATTTATTCTTGATGAAGGAAAGCTGGAAGAGGTGGAGGAGAGCTATTACTCTAGCAGCACATGAACTGAATGGTGGAGTCAAACATACACCTAGTGCTGTAACAGCAGCACCCAAACATACATCCCAAGTACATGGAAGTCTGAGCAACAGGAGCACAGCACTCCTAGAGGCAGCTAAGAAAAAATGTAAGAGGATACTTGATTCACTGCCACTAATAGAGCAAGACCACCTTCCTGCTTCAGGCTGTACACCTTGTCAGGGCTTCCTGGCTTTCCCCTTTAAGGGCTGCTTGATGTGACACAGATCAAGACATGAAGCTCCTGAAGAGTTTGTTTGAAATAGCATTCTCAGTTTCTGCAGTCAGCAGCTATCATTCATATCTGTTCCTTCCCTGGCACACTTCAGCCATTCTAAAACCAAGATGAGAACACAAAGAGTAACAGCTAAGCATCACCTCGGAGACACACAGGAGCTACTTACATCGTTCCAGTACCAACGAGCCACCTGTATCACCAGACTCATGCCTCACCAACTGGCGGAGCACCTGAAGAACAGACAGAAGTTAGTTTCCAGGACACAAAGCATGAGCACCACTCACACCATGTGCTTTTACTGTTCATTTTCTGAGTGCCAATTTTGCAGCGATGTTCCTTTCCAGCAACTTGCAAGAGCACTGTGTGAGTTCAATTCCACTCAACGTGAGACACAGGCTGTGGTGCCCCATCCCCAGAGGGGCTCAAGGCCAGGTTGGATGGGGCCACAGGCAGCCTGAGCTGCTGGGCGGCAGCCCTGCACACGGCAGGGGGATGGGGCTGGGTGGGCTTTGAGGTCCCCTCCAGCTTAAGCCATCCTGTGAACCTACGATAAACGTAGCCAAGCGGATTACTCATAGACTACTAGGTTAAACAGCTACCAAGGAGAAAGGTTCATCTACAGCAATCATTTCGGGAGGACACGCCGTAACCACCGCACTTCTGCAGCGCGCACTTGGGAACCCCGCCTCCTCCCAGCAGGACCCGGGAGCGAGCGAGAGCCCCGCGAGCCGCCACCCCACCCCACCCCGCCCCGCCCGCCCTACCCGCCAGGCCGGCCGCCGCCACATGCCGCCGCCGCGCAGGGAGAAGCCCGGGCTAAGCCGCTCCAGCCCAGCGGCCACACGAGCCCGCCCGGAAGCGGAAAGGAGAGGCTGCGTTTCGTACAGCGGGTCCGGCGGAAACACGACTCTGCCCGGGTAGGTGACGGCGGGGATGGTCTGGGAAGGCGTGCCAGAGAAAGTAGGGGCTGTACCAGCGCTCCTGGGGGAGTGGGGGGCGAAAGAAAGGGAAGGAAGGCACAGAAAACAAAGTACAGTAAAAGCAAGTGTTAAAATCTTTATTGGCACCTTTTGCTTTTAAAGGGATAAGATTTAATAATTTAAAAACAGTACTCTCAAACACTTGAGCACAAACTCTACTCGAGTAAAACTCACAGTGACCAAGGCAGAAGCATTATGCTCTCCCTCGTGTGTATCTGGCTTTCTGCTAGACACACACACAACCAACGAGTATCCAGAACATGACATTCAGCAGAGGGATGAGATTGTCTTAAAAATATTCACTTTAAATAGACAACTCTGGAAAAAAAAAAAAAAAAAAACCTACCAAAGCTTAAATGTTTTCTAGCTTCCCTCACCATTGCTTAAAAGCCGATTCTTCAAGCAGGTGGAGTTGCTCCATGAGCAAGATCCCAGAAGTTTCCATTTCCCATAGGCATGCAGAGCCACCTACCTGCATACTGGAGGTACAACCCCCACTTGATGCCAAGTCCTTTCCTATCTGCACAAGCCAGGCTTCAGGGTCTGGTCTGCAAAAGCTCAGCCACTTTAGTTGTGATTGAGCTCGTTGCTCAAAGATAAGGGGGGGAGACGACTTCAGCTCAATCAGTGGGGCCCCCTTAACTAAAAGCAGTCTACTCTTTGCTCCCTCAATGAAATACCACTCCAAATGCATTCCAAGTCCACCAGGATTGCTGCGTAACAGGTCTGCCTCCAAACATAGTTTACATAATACCGTTGTTTCAACTGCCTCACTGCTAAGGACCAGCAGGACATGCTGTCTTCCTTCTAAAGACATACAGGAGGTCAGCAGTAAAAACATAAAGATCAGTGTCCATCTAAGCAAAGGGAAGTAGAGGAAATTAGAGGAAATGCCATCCTTTTCTTTCTGTGGATGAACTATCCTTAGTCTAGAACTAGACCAATTACACAAGAAAATATCAATACTGAGGAAAATATTCTTAAATCACATCTTATGCTTGAGAGCTAATAATTCTTCCCTTTCCTCAGCCAGTATCTCGCCATAGTTTATGAGGGAACAAATAAAATTTACAAGCAGAGCTAGCATGGGGTCTTTTTGGTCTGTGCAGAGCCTGTGCTCTCAGTGTCATTCAGCAGCAAGAGCCTTTCAAATAACAGAAGTTCAGTAACCCACAGTAAAGCTAAATGAGCGACAACTCTTTCCTCCCACAAGGCGCTTGTTGTTCTTCTTTGGAGAGGTCTCAGACTTCTGTAAGTTGGCATTTCCTAAGGGCTGGTCCTTCATGAGGGTCTGGGCAAGGCGAGCTGCTTTTAGTTCCCTGCAAGGGAAGAGATGGAAGAGAAGGGAAGTAAGCTATACCATGCATGAATGCCCATCAACTGTCAGAGGCTGTGAACAGCCTTGCATCGGAGAGTTAGCACTTTGCCAGCTTTGATTTGGAAAATTAGAAGTTCTTTATGACTACCCCTGCAGTCTGGATCGACTGATCACTTGTGCAGTCAGCACGTGAGGTCAGCAAAAAGCACCCAGACCAGCACTGTTATGAAGTGCAGCTAGGTAGGTCTTCTCCTCCACATTGCTTCAGGTATTGTTATTAGTGGGACTGAATTGAAGTCAGTGCCATTCCGTGCAGTAGATACCTAATAAAGGTATGTTTCTTCTCCATTGCCTTCCTACCCTGATTCTTGCTGCTCTTCCAGAGCAGGTGTTCTTCTTCCTACTCTGTAAACCTATTCCCAGCTGAATACCGCAACAAGAAGGAAGGTGCAACTATCCTAGTATCTCAAAACATCACTGCCAGAAGCAGTGAGAGAGCATGGGAAGAGGGTGCCTGCAACCACCTGGTAGTTCTCTTACCCTTCCATGCTGAACCACTATCTCAGCTCTGTATCAGTTAATCTGCCTGCATATTGTACCAGCATGGGCCATCATCCATGACTGCAGTAGATGTGCAAGTTCACTGCTCTAATTTAGCCAGAATCCAAAAGCCAGAGATGAACTACAGCTGCACTGGCACTATGAATGTCTACCTACAGCCCTGCCACCCTGTAGATCCAGGCAGTGTCGCTGGGTATTTCTGCTGGTGGACCTCCCTGCATTCAAGCCTGGTCATCAACACTTGCTCAACTAATCAAATCTGTCTTTTCCCCCCACTGGCTTCACAAAAGCCCTACCTTTCCAGCATGGCAGTCTTACACTTCTCCACATTTAGCTGCTTCTGGAGCTGCACAGCTTTTCCAAGTGAAGGACGGAGGATTGGGTGCTTAGTAAGAGCTGTGGCAGAGGGTCTTTCCATCGGGTCAGGATGGATCATGAGCTAGAAGGCAAAAGTCAGGGTTTACAACTCTTCCTGTCACATGCCAACTGGAAAAACCCCCTTCCTGTTAAGGCTACTGCCTCACCTTCAGGAGTTCAATAAAGCCATTGGGAAGCTTCTGAGGGATCAATGGGATATTGCCCTTGCGGATGTGGTGCCACATGGCCCCATTGTGAGGCAGTGGTCCTGCACCTGCTGCCAGAGCTACTGTGAGTGCCAGGGCAAAGATGTCTGCCTTTGGCAAATGGAAGTATTGCTGCAGAGATAAGAGGAACATTTATACAGAGAATGTTATGTTGAACAGAGGTGTGTTGGGATACCAGCTCAAAAAGCAGCAACTGAACAAATACACGATACAGCCTTCACCACCCCTAAGTTATGTTTGTCCTTCTGTGTCTTGAATACTTGAGCTCATCAACATATCTAAGCTGGCTATTACAAACGGATTTCCTTTTTGTTCACAGGCCACAGTGGCAGAACTAATGCATCTTTCAGAAGAGAGCATAACTCCCCCAGCAGTGCCTTCCACCTCTCCACACTGCCTGATCAGTGCTTGGTATGCAAAGCATTTCTGCAGGTGCAAGCATTCATCAGTAGTTACACCCAGCAGATTCATATCAACTGGATATGTAACATGAAATGGACTGTAAAACTTTGTCCAACTTATCCCTAGAAGCTAAAAATAGAAGCAAGTTGAGATTACTGCAACTAAAACATGTTAGAGCAGTATAAATTATGTTAGGACAACATTATTTTTCTCCAATTAAGTTGACTACCAATTTCACAGCCAGACCTGATGCAGGAAAAAAGGAGATAAGTCATTATTCTGGCATGTTCCTTGCCTTAATTACTGTTGACCTCTCTCTACTTGCTCACTACCCTTGTTCACCAAACCACCCCATCAGCAACTGTTACCTCCTGCAAAATTTCATTGGCTAAAAACCGTCTGTCTCCCTCCTCCACTTGAGGGTTTGCTATTGATGTCACATGGCCAAGATCACCTAAAAAGCAAGCAAGCAAAAAAGAATGACTAAGAACAAACTGAAGTAGATCAATACAATTCTACTTTCCAGAAGGTACCGACAGAACTACCAGAAGCAGCAAAAGAACCAGAAGCCTGCTTTTAAACAGAAATGCGGGCTTTCGAGGAATTAATTCTGGTGAGTACAAGAGTTATTTAGGATGATTTTAAATGATGCTGAATGATGTCAGTACTGTATAGAAACCCCTTCACCAACCATGACAGAGCACCATCAAGCAGAAGTGCAACCTTAAAAGTAAGGTAGTTGCAATGTGAGCTAAAACCTACCAATCTTATACATCACACCAGAAGAGAACTCATCATCACTGTCACTCTCTTCCTGTCCAGCTTGGCCCTCAACTGCCAGCTTGTGACAGATAAAGATATTACCTGCAAGACAAGTAAAGTTTAGCAGCTACCAGTAGAACAGCCAGACAATTCTGTGTTAAAACCACCTGTAAAACTACACATGCTTTGCAGACCAAGTTACGAATATGCTTCCTGCCCAATCAGAAACAGAAAACTGTTACATCTTACGTATAAAATTACCCATTGTAATCACCTTCTCTGCCCCTCGCTCTGCTCCCCCTGCTAGGAACGTTTCAGCAGGACAGAGTATCCACTATGAGGATCTAACCACATGATTGCAGAGGGAACCCTGCCATGAATATGCCCATGCTCAGCTGCACAAAGTAGATAGTTTGTTGTTGTTGTTGTTTTTCCTACTTTTGCAGAAATATAATCCCTCAGGGTAGGTACAGAACAAATATTCACTTCTCACTCCAGTTTCTCACAAAGATCAAGCATTGTACAACAAAACAATAGCAAATAAGGAAGTCTTCCTCCTTTAGCAGCCCTACTAGCTCCTCCAGTAGTGGAAACTATTCCCATGAATAAGATCACAAGACAAGTCAAATGATACCAACTGCTGCACAAGGTTCAAATTTACAGCAGCAGTAGTGGAAAGTTTCAGAATCCACACTGCACATTCACTTTCTAGGGCAAAATCTTCTTCCCTTTAAAGCACTGTAAGAAGTCTACCAGGAGAGTCAGAGTGTGGAAAGGGCAGTGCTCAGAGGATAGAGGAAGAATGCTGCACTTACTAGGTTTGATATCCAAGTGCACAAGGCCAGAGTTGTGGATGTATTTTAGTCCCATGGAGACTTGTAACAAAATTTCTTTCAGCTTTGTTTCAGGGAAATACTGACCATGCTTTGCATTTTCCAGAAGCACATCTTGGAGACTCCCACCTAGAAGAAAACAGTCAGTCTGAGATTCGAAGACCTAATGGAACACTGTGTTCAGAGCAAGGAAATTAAGCTCCCAGCAGCAGATGTGATTAAAGAATGCAACATTTGACAACAGGGCAGATAAGTTGTGGCTCTCAGTGTTGATTGGCCTTTTTGCAGGACTAGAAAAATATAATTGCCTCTCTCCCATCATCTTTATTTCCACCACTTCTCCTTTAGTCTCAGCTTTTCAGCCACTAGAAAACATCTGCCCCCATGTTTAACTGGTACCTGCACCAGATTTGCAATTACTACTCTACACAGCCATCAACACTTATCATAGCTCCCAGCTTGAGGTAGCATTTGAGCAAGGAGAACTACGCACCAGCATTCACAGCTCCTCTGATAGCCAGAAGCATATTCCCCAGCATTTCCTAACCAAATGTGTCCAGAGCAAATCCATGTGAGTGTTCTACTCTGCCTGCAGCATGAGTAAACAGTTCAACCCATTGCTTAATTCCATTCCCCTAAGGCTGTTGAGCCCTTTCTCCTACCCAAGATGTTAACATAAGATACATTCATCTCAGCTGCACCCACCCAACATCTCAGCCTTTAAAACACTCCAGCCCTTACCGTTACAGTGTTCATTTTGTATAATCATGTGATCATCTTCTGCCCATGCTGAGTAGTAGCGCACAACATGGGGGTGGTGTCCAAGGACCGCATGAGCGTAAACCTCACGCAATGCCAGCTGCCTAGAGAAGCATGCACAGAAAAAGCATTGGTGACAGGATGTCATGGTACTGTGTGGGACCATACAATGAGTTTGATTTGCAGCCTGACTGGGGAAAGGGAAAGCTGAGATGTTTTGGACTCAGATTTTGGCAGATGGACTGACTCACAGCTGCTGAAGCAAAGCCTTAAAAATGGATATTCAGGAATACCTCAGCTTGTCAAGCAGCTGCCAATGCAGGCACCGCTGAACAAGTTTCCTATTAAAGTGGAAAAGGTACTTTCAAAGACATTGCTTCGACACATCAGCATGCAGAATAACACTAGGTGGTCAATACGGATGCAAATAGGTTGTGTGGAAGGCCAATACCACAAGTAAATAGTTTAATAGTTGTTTTAAAGACAGACTGGCTGCATGGGGTATGAGGATTCTGGGTAAGCTGCCATATCACTTTATAGTGCATGTGGCTTCTCCTCTCTGAGACACTTGTATTTATTTGCCCTAAAATGGTATCTTTCTTCACCCTCCCACCTCTTATTTAAACAGCAGCCAGTTTTCGCTCCCACCACTCTTCAGATACCTTTATATTCACACTCCCTCCTTCCCGATCACACCTCCCAAGAACACATCCATCATTTCAGCTAGCACACTCACTCATCTGAGGATCCTGCCAGAGGCCTCTTGGAGCGTTTGATGGCATAAACACATCCGTCAAGGCGCTTGATGCATTTGTAGACAGAACCAAATTCCCCTACACCAATCCTTTCCAGTTCCAGGAATTCCTTCTGGTAGCGGGAAACCATATTGCTGTCTTTCAGAGGACACCTCTAGAAGGTCATAAGTACAGCAGAGACAGCAGTATGAGTTGAAAGACTCAGATACACATCACATTTTTAGAGCTGTGAATCATTCATCCAAACACAAGACTCATTTTACTCCCTTTCCCATCCTGAACTCTCTCCACATGCATGCAGACTTTCAACTGGTATCTTCCACTTCAAGATTTTTGTAATCTTCTGGGCACCTAACAAAGGCTGCCTTCATCCAGCTCAGTCAAGATTTATTTATTCTAATCATAGGGCTAGAAAATGCAGCTAAGGACTAAAGAAACAGTTTAGTTGGCTGTATGTGGCTTGCATTACTACCATCATATCCCTTCTCTTGGCAGCTCAGTCCGGTTCCTGCACCCACAACAAATGAAGTAAAACAAGGAAGAACTGCAGAAAGAGTATTTGCCTTCTGCTCAGCTACTGCAGACTTGAGAAGACTTGTTACCAGACTTGATACATGGAAGTCCAGCACTTCTGTATCCATCACTCACGTTCTCAGCTTGAGTTTAAATGAGAGCTATGGACTATTTGGAGCTAAGGAGAAATTGATGCTACCCGAGCTACATAAAACCTGCTTTATGCTGGCAGTCAAAGTCACCTACAGCAAGCACATCATGCACCAGCTGAGGATCTCATTGGCTCTGAAGCAACAGCTGTTGACTAACTGTACTTCAGCAGGTCTAAGTGTTTGTATTCCTAGCTATTTCCTCACCAAGAGCCACATCTGTACCAAGGGATAAAAGCCTGCAGAGCAGCTGGAACATTATTGTTACAGTAACGGTCATCAGAGAAATAGAAGGTGCTGGTACTGCTTGTAGAGTGATGTCTACCAGCAGGAGAGAGAAGGAAAAAAAGTAGTGGTGCATGAAGGGAACAAGAAACTGGACTATGTGATTTCCCTTTATCCCTCTACATCCCTTACAGGGACAAGGTTTCCTGTTGCACATGACTTTCCACAAAAACCACTGCTGTGATTCCTGCTAGACTGCAATATGACCTTAAAGGAAGGATTTGGTCCCCCAGTCAGAAAGATGTGGCCCACGTGAAACAGCAGCTCTTCACAACAGGCCAAATTTTGTAAGACAGCTAAATATTAGCTCAGGAAATAAAAATAGCTTCTAGTAACAATTTTGTTTCAGTTATGGTTGAAATGAACGCAGGAATAATGTTTCAGTAAGACAAAAATTGAGGCTTTCTTCCAAAGAACCAGTCCCAAATGCCACATGCTTGAAAAGCTACAGCTGTGTATTATTACACCTGCTACGGGTTTTCTGCAATACCAGTTTTCTCGACTAGAGGGCATCATTATTCTTCAAGTGAGCCTAGGTATTTCAGTTACAGTGAACAAAACATACAAGAAATACCTGGTTAAAAGTGCTGCTCAGGAAAACTGAGATTTTTACCTCACCTGAATACAGATCTGATTTGCACTTGACTTCCTTTCCAGAAGCCAGCAAGGATGAGAAGTGGAGAAGTAAGGATAGCAGGACCCAGCTCTGCCAGCTGGCCAAGGGCACACTCAATCTTGCTCCTTGCCCCATTTGGCGAGCCAGCACACACTGCCACAGAGGTTTTCCAGCAAATTTTGGTTTTGTGCTTTAAGACTGTGCCTGCTGGACCATGGATGCAGGAAATGTATAGTGAAGTCTTCAAAATACACAGACAGCCCAGTTGAATAAGAAAGCCCTTGGTGGGGTGGGCAAGAAGTCCAAATACTTTTTCACATCTCTCCTGACCAGAAGGAGAGCAAAGGAAATCAGCCAGGAGATGCTCAACTAGGGTTTTCCAAGCTCATCTTCCAGCATCACCACAGCTTCAGTGGAGAGCCAAAGTAACAATCACAGCTGGCCTCATTACAGCTAAATTCATGCACTGGTCAGAGTGGAATTTTCAGTTGATAAAAACTTGCTATGTCAAGTCTGAAAAACCAAGGTATACAAGGCCATGAATCTAGGTAGCTCTGCATTTACTGATATTACCACTTAAGTCACAGTGGGAGCCAGGCTGTCCTCAGATCTGCTGGTCTCACAGCAGAGTCCCTTCTCTGTACCTCAGCTTTCTTACAAAAGAAACTTACTTTCTTACTGAAACACTGCTTGGGACATTCTAAAGTCAGATAAGTGAAGAGGATACTTCTAACACGACCTACAGCAAAAAGACATTTACCTACTGAGGGACATTCAAGAATTTACTGCCTCATTTCAGGATTTTGCCATTGCACTACTGCAACTGAAGTTCAGCCTTCAGTACTCATCCACATCAGAATCATTCAGATATTTTTTTTTGTGGTACAGGTCTATACATTATTTGCAATGTAGAAACTGTGTTATATTCCCATCCAATGTTGTTCAGTACACTGATTCATAGCTACAGCAATACAGCTCCTTCAAACCACATAGGTACAGTCACTATTTAGAGTAATTCAATAATATACAAATACAGTAATTACTCCCTGCCCCCCAAGGAGCCCAAACCATTAAATGACCTATTGACCAAAACAGATGAGTTTTAGAGTTACTTGTGTAAGTTTCAGATCTGCTTTGGCACAAGCTTCCTTGGGGAACCATTGCCAAGTTTGCTATTTCAAATCTTAACATCAGACATTCAGCTCAGAATGATTCTATTACAAGTACCATCCTCTGTCACACAGTAGTTTAAACCCCAATGGTTGAGTAAGTTTCACCAAGCACTAAGACTTGGTAAGCATCTTATGATCATATTGAGGGGGGATTATGCAGAGGCACTCACCTGGGTGGGTAGCTCCTGTTTTACCTGGCCTCTTAGATCAGGATTCCTTCTGTAACAGAAGTTCAGGAAAGTCTACATGTATCACTGATTATATATTACTGAAGTGAGTAATTCATTGCTAGCAAATAAGCCTGAGTACTAAAAATGTATCCTTCATTACTAGTCTTGTTGAAACTAACCCCTTCCCACCTGTTATTTAAGAGCAGTTCACTTACATCTCTCTGGCTTTCCGCTTGCCATTGGGAAGAAAGAGCATTTGTCGGTATGACTCTGGTGTAAAGGGATTAATGTTGACAAGAGAAGCTTGAGTAGAGTCATCCAAGTCAGCACCAGGAGTAAATCTCAGATGTCTGAAGCCTTTGGGTGGGACCTTTGCCCCAGGTGAAGGAAAAGCTGTCTTTGATAACAGGCTCTATATTAAGGGAAGAAAGAGCAGTAGATGAGCCAGCAAGATACCTTTGTTGCCACAAAGTCAGAATAAAATCAGTGCTGTCCTGCAAATCAAAGGAAACTGATCCCTTTCTCAGAGTAGTTGAATCACTAAAGCCCTAAACACCAAGGCCTAAATTTTCTTCTCCTTTCATAACATGTTGAGTTCTTCACTAAACCTTTTCAGACTGTATGCTGCTCTCTAGGCTGCAGAGCCATTTCTGCAAGCTCAAAAGGAACCAACTGTTCACCTTCCCCTCCTACAGAGCCACAGAAATTGCACCATAGTTGTGTTCTGTCAAGCCTGGACTGTTGCATCAGTTTGGTCAGGACAGGTTTGTCAGGAAAGTGAGATGGGCACCACCCAAGTTCCCTTCCAGTTCCTCAGTGGTGAGCAGCATCACTATGGGGAAGTTACTAGAAATATTTAGGTATGGCTGCTGGCAAGGTGGCCAGAAAACTGTTTTCCTTGGAAAGAGAAACTCCACTTTCAGAACTTCTGAATTTTAATTTACCTTTCTGCAAAAGACTGGCAACTAAGGTTTCAGTCTCCCTGTCTAAAACCTTAGCTTAAAGAAGCACCCAGCCTTGATCCAGGAATGGAAAGGTCTACTTGATTTTCACAATTATGTAACCCCTTTATCACCACCAGCTTTTTTGACATAAGTCTCATGATTCAATTTGGTTTTAACTTGTTTCTAAAGGTGCTCTTATTACATCTCTTCCTTCTAGATAAAATGCTCTTATAAGTAGTCTTTTAACCAAGAACACTCCACCATGAAGATCATACATGTTTTGGTCCTACAGAATGGCTTCATGAGCAAAGATATGGCTCCAGATCATAACTGGAACTCCTTCCCCCCTTTCCCTGGTGTTTGACTGGAAAAACAAAACAAACAAACAAACAAAAAGCTTTACACAGTAGAGTGCATCCACCTACTGGCATGGCACTCAGGGATATGGTTACTTCTGGGACATGCCTCTATTTCAACACCCTATTGACAATTTGTAGCCACTGAGTTACTGTAACCCTGAAGTTCCTCTCAATCACTTTCTCAGGGTCCAACCTATACACCCATGCTCTTGTTGGAAAAGCTCTGCATATGGATGCATTAAAAGCAGTACTACAGTACACAGCCAAGTACTACTTACCCAGCAATCTGAATCTCTGTAGGCTTGTGGCTATGTTCTAGTTTAGGCACAAATTGAGAAAGGAATATAAAATACCATTGCAGCCTGCTGTTGCATGCATGCAGTCACCAACTGCTCTACTAGGGCTCTATTTCAGTATCAGACAGACACGTCTCCAGTAGCATCATCTGAGAGTAGCTGCTAACACTCACTGTAAAACAAGGCAGCTACCATAATTAGCTGTAGCAGTTCTGAGGACTAAGTTCATAAAATGTAATCATCTGCCTACTCTGCCATGCAATCTACCTAGGGCCTCAGTGCTGCTCTGTGTGCAGATGTGGCTCTGCTCTTACTCTTTTTCTTTCAAACATTCCATGATCAACACTGCCAGCTGCCTCTGCAGATTTAGGCCCTTTAGAGCCTGTCTTTTGCAGTATACCGAGAAAAAAAGGTATCTCTCCCAGAACACAAACAAATGAATCCTGCTGATTCGGTGCAATTGCTGTTAAGATGCTACAAGCATGTCTTAAAGCATCCAGCCAACAGTGGTGCTGAATGCAGGAGCACACACTGAAAGCACTCAGCATTACCAGCAGTGCATCTGGTCTGGGAGGCAAATGCTAGGCCTCTCACCTATTTTAGTGTGAGATTCAGGAAGATTTCTTAAAGGACTATTGCAGGAAATTGTTGAAGCAAGACCCTTTGGAGTCACTTCTCCCTTAGAAGAGGCAGAGCAGTACTCTGAGTCTATATGGCTGCATAGTTACATGTGGTCTTAGGGCCAGCCTCTACCCACATAATCAGGTGCCTGGAGGGAGACAACCCAAAATCCTTAGATGGCTAGAATTCAAACTGTAGCTCAGAAGTACTAAAGGAATTGATCATGTGTGCTACTTCAGCAAAGGCCAATCTGACTTTCAGCAGAGTAGGAACACTGTAAGGCCTGTAAGAGCTACATGGCATTGCAAATCTTGAATGCTAGAAGCCAGTGCATGCAACAGAAACACAGGAACATCTAGGAACACAGAAAGTGGCTTTGATTCGGCAATCATTCTTACAGAAGACTGCATCAGTTGTATTCTATTTCATACAAGAAGTTTCAAAGAAAATAGGGGGCTGGGAACATTCTCTAAAGAGGCCAGACCTGTAGTTAAATTACACATGAGAAGAGTGGTACAGAGGAAGACAGGTAGATCTTCCTTCACAAGCACACGTTGATTTGTTGCTGTGAACAAAGCTCTGCCTTCCCCAGATCCCCTGAACAGCTCATTTCCATGCACACAGAAGCAGCATCAATGATCAACAAGCTGATGGGAAAGGTTCCAGGTCCACCAGACAGATTACACCCCAGCAACAGCATCATTTCCAACTTCCTCATCAAGAGAAAACCCACTTGTATCCAAAAATGGGCTGAACAGAACAGACAGTGAGGGCAGCTGCTTGCCTCCAAGTTGCCCCTATGTAACTAGCACCTCAAAGATATAGTCATCCTTCTGGGAGCACTGTGCACACTGCCTACAGAAATGCTGCATGTGTCTGGCCCATTACACAGAGCAGGAGGGAGACAACAGCCAAGGCAAATGGCTGGTTTTTTTTTTATGGTTTTTTTTTTTTTAAACACAGGCTGAATCAGTACCAATTAATTAATTTCAACAACAATTTGGAAAGTGTCAAGGAACCTGCTCCCACACACAGGTTTCTATTCACACTTACAAAATAATCAGCTAAAGAGCCTGTGGGCCCAGTTTCTAGTGGAAGAGTAGAAAGCCAACGAGGATTTATACAAAAAAAAAAACCTACTTCCCACAGAACTAGCAGCA